AAAAAAAAAAAAAAAAATTCTTTCAGTGTTACATAAGTCTGCCTTTTCAGGTTCGGAAAGGTCTGGCATTAGGCATAGCATTTGTGGTATTTTCTCTTTGGATGAGAGCGGGTCTCTCTGCAAGCTTATGCTCCTTGATGGCCAAGTCCGTGTCTTGTTCACCGTGTTATAGCTAACACCTACATAGTACCTGGCACATTATAAGTTGAATAAATGAATATTTGAAACCACAAAAGTCTTCACAACGCCTAGAATGTCCATTCTGTCCAGTTTAGGGTGACCAAATAGACAACACTCAGTGAAATTAGAATTTCATATAAACAATGAATAATTTTTAGGATAAGTATCTCCCAAATATTGCATGGGAGATACTTATCCTAAAAATTATTCATTGCTATCTGAAATTTTAATTTCACTAGGTAACTGTATTTTTATTTGCTAAATCTGATAACTTTATTCTAGTTATTATAATAAAGTTCTCGTCATTTGTTCAATTAGTTCTTTATCAACAAGTATTTATTGCATCACTAAATTATTAAATTATGCATTGTGTGCCTACCATGTGCCAGGAACAATGCTGTGGACTGGGGACTTGGCAATAAGTAACACTGGCAGACTCTCACTTCATGAAGCATTTATTTCAGTGGGAGATTGGGGGAGATATACAAGAAATAAGTGAAGTATAAATTGGCAAGGTAATTTCAGTTAATGATAAGCACCATGAAGAACATCAAAGCAAGATCATGAGGTATATGAAGGATGGATAAAAGACTACCTTAGATGGTGCAGAAAGGCATCGCTAAATGATAAAAAGAAGCCCATCATTCAAAGGGTCAGGGAAAGAACATGAAAGAGAGAAGGAACTGCAAATGATAGAACCCTAGGCAGAAATGAATTGACTGCTACAGAAGAAGAGTGAAGATCAGTTGGATTTTAGTGGGCAGGGGGCTGAGAAGTGGTAAACGTGTGGTACAAGAAGGTGGAAGAAACTGAAGCAAGAGCCAAATTATGCAGAAATTTATATTGTATGGTATGGTATTTAGATTTGATTCAAGGAGATCAGGAATGACTAGAGTGATTAGGATAGGGAGGTGATATGATCTGAAATATTTTCAAAAGACCCCTTAGGATGCTGTGTGGGAAATGGATGGGTGGAGTGGGCAGGTAAGAATGAGTGAAAGTGGAACATCAGTTAGAAGGTGAGGGATGACACAGGTTTTTATCAGGCTGGTGACAGAGGTGGATGAATTGGAGATATATTTTGAAGGTAGAAGCAACAGTAATTATAAAAAATTTTAACTTTGGGATGAGAGAGGAGTAGGGAGAGGAGAAATTCCCCTTTTTTCTACTTGAAGATGCCCTGATTCTATGTATGTCCTGTATATAAAAATAAACTCATCCTCTATGTCCTTTATTCTCAGTTGCCTATATTGGCATCGTCAGTGGTTAGTCTCTATTTTCTTGAACTCACGGATGTCTTCAAACCTGTGCACTCCGGATTTAGCTGCTATGACCGGAGTCTTAGCATGCCGTACATCGAACCAACCCAGGAGGCAATTCCATTCCTCATGTTGCTTAGCTTGGCATTTGCTGGACCTGCAATTACGGTAAGAATTGTCTCCCAGATTGCATTTTTCAGTCCTAAAAAAATAAAAATGACTATGTTTGTGTAGTATATGGGTTAAAAGCAGACAAGAGATGAACTCTAAATCTTGGACCAGTAAGATATCTTTGAGATATTCTGACAACATCATGTGGGAATAATTAGTAGATTAAAACTATTGGCATTAAAAATTAAAGATTATATAATTTCAAAATTATTGGTCCCTAATGTCTACTTTTATAAATCATTATGAAAAAAGTTTTATGGCTGTCTAATTCTCCTTGGATGGCTAATATAACATTTCTGATACACTTCCTAATCAGCATATTTTTTATGTCTTTATTTGGTATCAAAAGTATGGAAAACCAGTAGGGAGGTAGAGAGAGACAAATAATTATACAGCCAAAAGACTTTCTTCTCAAAAGTGAATTTTATAACACTTACAGCTTCATCTTTTTTATAAGATTGGAACTTTTTATTGACTATGAGCACTGAGCATCAACAATTGTAAAGTAAAAAATACAAAACTCACATTCCTGGTGTGCTCCAGCACACACGCATGTACACACACGCACAAAGAATGAGATGTTTTAGATCCAGAACAGGAGTTTGCATTTCAAAATACGTACATAAAGAAATGTCCTAATCTATTGGAACTGAATTAAAAACATAGTTGTTTTTATGAATTATTACAGATTGTAGATAACACACTTGTAGAAAAAGTTATTATTAAATAAGACTGGTCAAGCCTTTCGTCATCTCTTTTGCCCCCAGAATATTACCTAGAGGCCAAAAAACATGTTTCAAGGGTAACAATACTTATTTCTACTAG